CCATGCTCTGATACCAAACTGATGTAGAACGAAAAACAGCTTTGCTAGGGACAAATCTCCTCTCTGAATTTTGAGAATACTTTCAGTTTTTGTTCCCCAAAACCTGAGAGAATTCAGGTTTCTTTCTTGAAAGAGGAGGGAGAACAAGCACCAACTCCTTCTCTTGTAGAACCTGAAAACAGTTTCAGATTCCAAACATCTCTTGCACTTCGAAGAGACAATAAACTCCACATCTCTTGACCAAAGTCTGAAAATAGCTTCAGATTTTGGGATCCCAAAATCTGAGAAAATTTCAGATTTTTCTGGAAGAGGGTGGAATTGGAGGCAGGAAACTTAGTTGATAATTCCTTTTGAAACAGTTAAGAGGGAGAGAAGATGGGAGAGAGGGAGAACTGAGGCGGCGAGATGTAGAGTGGAGTCGGGGGAATTATTTCCTTCAATCCGTGAAATGAGTTAAGGAAATAAAATAGGAAATAAAGTCCAGGGGCTGAAAAAATTCCAATGGCACTCTCAGATTTTGGGAAAGCAAAGAATGGCGGGCTGAATTTTGGGAACAGAATTTTGAGCTGAGCCTTGGAAATTTCGGTCAAGTGAAGGGGGAAATAATTGGAATTGTTTCCAATAGATGGGGTGGGTTTTAGGAAACAAATCCAATTCAATTCTTTAGAGGGGAATCTGTGGGATTTTCTATTCCTAAATCACTGAGTTGATTTGGGAATTAAATTAGGAAATAATTTATTGAAACTTGAATTGCTATTGAAGGGGGGCCGGCAGCTTTTAGAAGGGAAATAGAGATTAAATTCCAACGGGGAGAATATGAGTTGGGAAGGAATTAAATGAGGTGGGGACGTGGGGTGTTCAGCCAAGCAAGAATCAAGGAGCAATTAATGTGGAGATTTAAGGCTCATTGATTTGAATTTAAAAAATTTCAAAATCTGAATTTAATTTCAGTTTTGATTGAAATTGGGGGGAGCTTAATTTGAAAATTGATTTCAAATTAAGAGTGCTTTAATTGGGGCATTAATGGGAGGAAACCCACATGGTGGCCGGCGGCATGTAGAGAGAGAGGGAGGGGATTTGGGCAATGTTTGGGGAGTTTCCAAAGAAGAAGAATGCATTAGGAAGGTTACGGCTAAATCCAAACTTCTTTGAATTTAAATTTGAATCATGCATAACACTTCCCTAAATAAGAATTTCCAAATTTGGAAAGAATTGAAATTCAAAATTTGAATTTCAAATTTGAATCAATCATTTCTAATTTCTCGTAGGGTGAATTATGGAAAGCCATGAAGATATTGAGATTACCGTCATGGGGGGTAAAAAAAAATGGGATTTCGGGTGAGGCTAGAATCCGGCGACCAAACGAAGATGGGGAGGAGGAAGAAGATGACTACGAGGAAAAATACGACGAGGAATACAAGGACGAAACAAAGAAAATAAAAACAAAAGATATAAGATAAAACGAAAGAGAGAAAATAATAACCGCGAGCCTCGGACTCTTCCGACGACTGACGGGTGATTCTTTGCCCTTCTCCAAGGGACTTCAAATCACGAGCCCGGACCCATCCTGCGGCTGGTGAAACTCTCGATTTCTCTCATAGAAATCTCACTCTCGTCCTCTCTCAAGAAGAACACAAGTGTGGAAAACAAAATTTTTCATATCCATTAACCATCTCTTACAATAGCTTAAGACCCTTATTTATAGGCCATAACATGAGAAAAAAATAGAAAATTACAAAAATGCCTCTTGGGCCAAAACACTCACATAAACTATCCTAGGGGTAAAATAGGAAATACATAAAACAAGAGCTAAAATTCAGAAAATAATACATAAATGAAAATTTAAACAATGGTCGTCGATTTACGACGCCGCCTGTGATAGATGCGTCAAATCTTCGTATTGATGTCCGCATCATTCTCCCCATGTGGGAGAATACTCGACTCCGTCGAGTAAGTATCACAGCTGCTCATGTTCTTGAGAGAGATTTTTAAAGCGTCCACCAATTGTGGAGCAAAAGATTTTGTTGCAATGATATAATCGGGTCCGATACAAGCTTGACCATTGTTGGATGGAGCAATTTCTGATGGCTTTAGGCCAACAACATTACCAGCTGCAATAGCTTTTATGACAGGATCAATAGTGAGTACTTCCTCTTCATTAGCCTCCTTGTCAATCAATCCATCTTCTTCTTCATGTTCTTCTTTGATCACCTTAAGTTCCTCTTTGATTTGCACAGTTATTGGGAGATTGAAAACTTCATTAGCCTCCATCCATTTGTCCACTCTATCCTTTATCTCTCTGTCTTTTAGTGCCCTTTTTCTATCCTTTGATGAAGGGGATCATGAAGAGGTGTAAAGCGATGGGTCCGTCCTACCTTGCTCTAGGTTATCGAACCGTTTGATTGTTTGACGGTGGAGGTCGGCTAAGTCCGCTTGAGTCTCCTTGAGATGTTGACTAATGGCGGTCACTTGACCTACCATCCAGTCTAGAGTCCTTCCAAGTCGATCCGAGTCCACGGATCTGGTTTAATGAATTTTGCAAATTCACCATGGGTGGGCGTGGGTGGGCGAAGCCCATCCGAGTAAAGCATGGGTACCCAATGGGTACCCAACCAGGACCTCATGTAGGGCTTTGGTGATGAGTAGGGGAAGAAAAGAACAAATAAGAAAGATAAAAAAAAATCAAATCATTAACATAGGCCATGGAATCATCTAGTTATATATTGCATAGTCTCGTCTTCACACAAAGGGAAAATAAATTTGGTAGAAAATTCCAGGTACAGTATACATTATTTTCATTCATTGATATTTAGTACTTGAGGTCAGTTAGGGGAAGGTGTTGAAGGAGATAAAGAGGTTGACGAGAAGAATTTGCTGGATATTTTATTAAGTGAATTGAAAATAAATTGATAATAGATATGTAAGTGTGATATATTTGTCTTTGATTTATTATATGAATGATTTTTAGATGGAAGGCTTCAGATTCAAGATTATGTGATTAAAATGAAGAAGATTATCTGAAAGTGTAGAGATAGATGGGTATATCTCATAGTTCATTATTCTCTTATAAAATCCTCTACAACGTTGTAGTTCTTGCCTATTAAAAACATTGTGTATTGAAGGTTACAAATGCTTATTCGATGAAGAAGAAGATCCATGCGCTATGTCATGCATTTTTCCATGGGAATCACTTAAACATAATCATCTAGTAATTTCAGAAGGTTTAAAAGAGTAAAATGTTTGAAGTATGTGATAGTTATGATTAGAAAAATGAGTTAAAAACCAAAGTTGTCTCTTCACTCTTTACAAATGATCAAAATAGTTCCGGATTATTTAAAACTCTTATTTTAGTTCATTGATATTTGAAATAGGGATATAAATGATCTCACAGAAGGATTGATTTGATCCCTTTTTAAATAGTCAAGAAATTAAGGCTTTGTTTGGGATGGCTTTTTCACTGCTTTTTAAAGCAACTTTCTAGCATAAAATTTTATTTTTTTACTAGAAAGTTGTTTTAAAAAGCAATAAGAAAACCGCCCCGAATAAAGCCTAAAGCTTCATTTGAAACAACTTTCTTATTGTTTTCTAATGCAGCTCTCAAGCACATACATTTTTTGAAATAAGAAAGCTATACCAAACGAAACCTAAATTAAAATTTTTATATAGTCGGAAATTATTTTGATCCTTTAGAAAAAGTTAAGAAATCAACTCGTTCTTTTCTTATAGAAATTAGATGATGCAGACTTCATGCATTGTTTATGACAGCACAAAACACCCAATATGTTTGCCTCCAAAAAAAAAAAAAGACTCGGAAAGGGAAAAAGATAAGTGACAGATCCCTGTTCAGCTATTATTGATCAAATGAAGCAACAATGAAGACATCTACAGATCCTTTGTTCCAATCGTTCAGTTAGATCTCTTATCCAAAGTGAGCTTGTTGCTCCAAAATTTTCCAGTGCTTCGCAGTAATGTAAAGTTACATTGGCATACATCCCATGCATAAGAGGTTTTGAAATTTTAAATATATTTGATGAAGGAAATGCATGAAGCACTCTTTTAAATTAAGCATTTACGGTATCAAAATACTGATCTGAAATTTTT